CCCAGATATAAAACCATCCTCATATAGCCATCTAATCTTTGACAAAGCAGACAAAAACATACACTGGGGAAAAGAATCCTTATTCAATAAATGGTGCTGGGAAAACTGGATAGCCACATATAAAAGACTGAATCAGGATCCACACCTTTCACCTCTCAAAAAAATCAACTCGCGCTGGGTAACAGATTTAAACCTAAGGAGTGAAACTATTAGAATTCTAGAGGAAGATGTTGGAAATACTCTTCTAGACATTGGCTTAGGCAAAGAATTTATGAAGAAGACCCCAAAGGCAATCACAGCAACAATCAAAATAAATAAATGGGACCTGATCAAATTAAAAAGCTTCTGTACACTCAAAGAAACTGTCACAAGAGCAAACAGACAACCTACAGAATGGGAGAAAATTTTTACATGCTACAAATCTGATAAAGGGCTGATAACTAGAATCTACTTAGAACTCAGGAAAATCAATGAGAAAAAATCAAACCACCCTATCAAAAAGTGGGCAAAGGACATGAACAGAAACTTTTCAAAAGAAGACAGAATAATGGCCAAAAAAACATATGAAAAAATGCTCAACATCTCTAATCATCAGGGAAATGCAAATCAAAACCACAATGAGATATCACTTATCTCCAGTGAGACTGGCCTTTACCAAAAAGTCCCAAAACAATAAACGTTGGCACAGATGCAGAGAGATAGGAACACTCATACACTGCTAGTGGGACTGCAAACTAGTGCAACCTCTGTGGAAAGCAATATGGAGATACCTTAAAGAAATACAAGTAGAACTACCATTTGATCCAGCAATCCCATTACTGAGCATCCACCCAAAAGAACAAAAGTTGCTCTATGAAAAAGACGCCTGCACTCGAATGTTCATAGCAGCACAATTCACAATTGCAAAGATGTGGAAACAACACAAATATTCATCAATACATGAGTGGATTAATAAACTGTGGTATATATATACCATGGAGTACTATACAGCTTTAAGAAACAATGGTGATATAGCACCTCTTGTATTCTCCTGGATAGAGGTGGAACACATGCTACTAAGTGAAGTATCCCAAGAATGGAAAAACAACACCATATGTACTCACCATCAAATTGGTATTAACTGATCAACACTTAAGTGTACATATAAGAATAACATTATTGGATGTTGGGCAGGGGGAGGGGGGAGGAGGGGGAGGAGGAGGAAGGGACAGGCATATGCACAAACAATGAGTGTGATGCACACCTCCCGGGGGATGGACATGCTTGAAGCTCGGACTTGGGTGGGAGGGGGGCTAAGGACAACATACGTAACCTAAACATCTGCATCCCCATAATATGCTGAAATTAAAAAAAATGAATTTTTAAAAATGCTATAGTGTCTTAGAAACAGTTTTGCAAAGAAACAAGGATTTCATGTACCAAATAACTTCACAGGTAACTGCAACCTTTATGAATGAGATAAAATAGGGTAACTAATGGATAAACTCTTAAAATTTTATTTTTAGATTGAGTTTGGTTTCTTATACAACATTAAAGAAATACAACTGTTATATATATATTTGTACTAAAAACAATAGTCAAAGGAAAGTAAAGCAAAGGAAATCAGCATTTCACTCACAGAAAGAATTATGCTGGGGCTGGGCGTGGTGGCTCACGCCTGTAATCCTAGCACTCTGGGAGGCCAAGGCAGGAGGATTGTTTGAGCTCAGGAGTTCGAGACCAGCCTGACCAAGAATGAGACCCCGTCTCTACTAAAAATAGAAAAAATTAGCCAGGTGTGGTGGTGAGCACCTGTAGTCCCAGCTACTTGGGAGGCTGAGGCAGAAGGATCGCTTGAGCCCAGGAGTTTGAGGTTCCTGCGAGCTAGGCTGACGCCACGGCACTCTAGCCCGGGCAACAGAGCGAGACTCTGTCTCCAAAAAAAAAATAAAAAATTAGCCGGGCATGGTGGCGCATGCCTGTAGTCCCAGCTACTCGGGAGGCTGAGGCAGGAGGATCACTTGAGCCCAGGAGTTTGAGGT